AATTGAGAAATGTGAAGCCAGGCCCCTTCTAGAGCATGAGTTGAAAGGAGCAGATCTAAGAAAGGAAAGCTGAATTTTGAAGTTTGCAGGGAAGTTGTAGAAGGGTTAGCAGTAAGGCAGTACAGGGAGTAAGAAGCTAGAGATATAAGGACATCCAATGGGTAAAGAAAGGCCCAGCAGCAGGCAACAGGGAAAAAAAAAATGTCAAGAAATTTCCAGGAGTGGGAATGTCCACGAAACTTCTAAATAAAAGCATTTTAAGCTGTTCACTATACTGGGATATAATCCTTATCACTCCTCCCAAATTTTCAATAAAGCTCTACTACAAATATTTGTCTTGTGACTGATTCTTTAGAGAAATTAAGGCAGATGCCAAAGAGACAGGCTCCTCAAGAGACAAAATGTAAGTACTTTCTAAAATATAGCAGAAGCAAGGAAGTGAAGTAAGGTGTCATTAAGGGAAACGCAAGCTCCCTGAAATTCCTCAGAAATAGGAGAGGAAACTGTGTTCCCACCATTTACAGATTGGGGCTTTTAAAAGAAGAAAAATCACCCCATAAGGAGGTGGACTTTGGTGTACCTAGCTAGATTATACCCAGTCGAGTAATGAATAAGTAAAACAACAAAAGTACTTAAATTCATGCTTCGGGAATTTTAAAAGAGGCGATCATCATTTAGATCATCTAGAATAGTTAAATAATACTTCATGGACCAGGTGACCCTGACCTAGCCCTTTAAGGATGACAAGAGTTGGAGAACAGGGATATCATAGAAAGATATTCCAGGTATAAGTAACAGCATGAATAAAGCCCCAAAGCCAAAAATGAGTGTGGCCTGTTCAAAGAACAGTGCAGAAACTGGCCTATTTGGAACAGACAGTACCCACTGGCAGGCAATGGCATATAAGATTAGCCAGGTAAAGTGAGACCAGATTGAGGGAGGCTCTGAAATCCAAGATGAGAAATTTGAACTTCAATTGACAAGCATTGATAACAAGCGAAAGAAACTGCTTTGTTCTGTTCTGTTTCTTAAAGATAATAAAAAACTGTGGCTATAGCATTGGTGCCATTGCCTTCTAAAATTGGCCCACTGATTTCCCACTACCCAAGTCAGGTTATATATGTTCAGGTACACAACTATTACGTTTGTGAAAAGAATGTTTCTATTCATGTCTGTACTAGGCATCTCCAACTGCATGTCAATTACCCTTAAAAGTTCTTCAGCTCGCCTGTGTCATTTATCCTCTCTATAAACACTGTCTAACCTATGACATAGCCAAACTAGGGAATTAAAGGTGATTCAGTTCATATCCTCAAGAAACTCAGGACCTGATGTAGGCAAAGGCCAAGAAAACAAACTAGTACAATTCACAGTGGTAAGTGCTACAGTAGCGGATGCCTAGAGCAGTAGTCTCCAGCCTTTTTGGCACCAGGGACCGGGTTTTGTGGAAGACCATTTTTCCACAAATTGGGGGTAGGGTGAGGGATGGTTTCAGGATGAAACTGTTCCACCTCAGATCATCAGACATTAGAGTCTCATAAGAAGCATGCAACCTAGATCCCTCACATGTGTAGTTCACAATAGGGTTCAGGCTCCCATGAGAATCTAATGCCACCGCTGATCTGACAGGAGGCAGAGCTCAGGTGGAATGCTCACTTGCACACGCTGTGCGGCTCGGGTCCTAACAGGCCACTGACCTGTACCGGTCCATTGCCTGGGGGTTGGGGACCCCTAGCCTACAGTATCATAAAAGCAGATGACACTTACTTTGGAGATCAGAAAAAGACAAAAAACACCTAAGACAGAGTGTTGACTGAGTCTCGAAGAAAAAGAAGTAACAGCTGAGCATGGTGGCTCATGCCTGTAATCCCAGCACTTTGGAAGGCTGAGGTGGGCGGACAGCTTGAGCTCAGGAGTTTCAGATCAGCCTGGGCAATGTAATGAAAACCCGCTTCTACAAAAAATAAAAAAAAAAAAATTAGCCAGGTGTGGTGGTGGGCACCTGTGGTCCCAGCTATTATACTTTGTAAGCTGAGGTGGGAGGATTGCTTCGGTCCAGCAGGCAGAGGTTACAGTGAGCCGTATCACGCCACTGCACTCCAGCCAGAGCAAAAAGAGACAGACCCTGTCGTAAATAAGTAAATCAATAAATATCAAAGCATGGGGAGAGGTAGTGAAGGATAACAGTGATTACAATCAGACTGCAAAGGCTAGGCAGAGCCTGTCATACTGAGAGACTGTAAGTTAATTCCATATGGCTGGATGAGTGCGAAAAGTAGGCAAGGACCACACCATGATATACATGAAGTTTATATTTTAGAGTAGCAGAATGATTTTAATGAAGGAATATTATGATCATATCTGAGTTTCTTAAAAAGAGCTCTGGTGGCAGGGAAGATGGATTGAAAGGGCACCATAAAGTTTCTTCCTATCATAACTGCAACAAAAATCTGATAAAGGATTGCTATTAACAGTCATTTTATTCCAGTTATCCACTCCTACCCCCTTTCTAGGCTTAACATGCATCCTTCATGAAGCCTGCCCTAACCCTTCCCAAAGACATTAACCTTGTCTTTCTCAGAACTTCTAAGACATGTCTGTCTATACATTTCATTCTGCTATCAGTGTTTAAGTTTCTTTTCCCTAACAAGAAGGTAAGCTCCCCAAGAAAAGAAGTCATACATTTTTTAATGTATGTAATACATAAACACACACACACACACACACACACAAATCTTATAGCTCCTAGCACAGTAACACCACATTCTGAAATAGACACTTCTTTAAAATGGCCCTCTTTATCCATGAGTAAAAAGATTCTGCTTTTCCCCATAAATAATAAAATAAAATGTAAGATTAGGCAAACTAAGGTGAAAAAGTTAGCACAGCAGTGGTGGGATCAGGAGTGAATACAAGGTGATCAGGACTGAATACAAGGGACCTTTCTGGGGAGATGGAAATGTTCTAATTTGTCATACGGATGTTTTATACAGTGTACCCATTTGTTTAAAAAATGTGTAACTAAGGTTTGTACATTTCAATGTATATAAATTTCACCTAAAAAAACCTATAAAAATAAGGAGGGAGGAGCAGGTTGATACAGACGAAACAAGAATATAGACTGTTGTTGGTACCTCTTGGGTAAACAAAGTTCTTGGTGGGCAATCCTTATATTATCCCATGTACTTTTTATATGTGTGAAATTTTTCACAATAAAAGATCAGAAACACACACACATATATATGAGATTTAAATGAGTGAAAAAAAATTCATTAACAAAAATTTAAAATAACCCAGAACATTTAATTACTCATTCTCCTAATGTTTGGAGTAATGTTACACTGTAACTTTTAAAGTGATTTTACTAGCTCTATTATCTACCCAATTCTAAAACCAAACCACTGTTAACAACGTAGACAAAAGAAGGTCAAGTACCCACAGATTCCTTAATTAAGCACCAATTATTAAAACTAGTTGTTACCAAAGATATTCAAAAGGCCAGTATAATATAAAAATTAGAATCTTCTAATGTTCAAACTGTGATACCAAAGGTGGTGACTGAAAGATATTCATTAGACTTCTGGACATATAATATCTTCAAAAAAACATCAATACCATTTTTAATGGTTTCAAAATAATTCAATCATTTCATCTCAACAATTTAAACTTCACACTTATCTGCTCAGTATCTGCAATCTCCTCCCACAAAATAATGTGTAAAATAGAGATTTTCCCCACTTAGCCCAATGCAAAAGGCTAACAACAATCTTTTGTTCAGTACATTTCCTGCTAAATAATTCAATCCCCACAAAAGTTCACAATGTTTCTCAAGAAAAAGAGTAATTTTTAAAGCATTTTACAAGGGCAAATAGCAGCTAAAATCATTTAATAAGACAAATTCTATTACACTATTTTACTGCTACTGCTACTATTTCCCACTAGATTATGTTTAAAATTTCCCTTGCCAATAATCAATGGTCTTATAAATTGGTTTGGTAAGGAGTGTGGAATGTGACTGGATGGGGGCATAAGGACAGTTTCTGCGGTGCTGATAATGTTGTTTCTTGACCTGGGTGCTGATTACACAGGTGTGTTCTATTTGTAAAAATTCTTCAAGCTCTACACTTATGTGTACTATATGTAGGTGACATGTATGTAATATAATATCACATATACATATAAATATGTGATACTTCAGTAAAGAAGTTTAAAAAAAAAAAAGAATCATAAAAGTAATCCAGAATGGTAGGGTTGTCCTCGAGTTCCCTCCTCTATATTAAAACATCTGTTCTATGCCCTGAAACACTTCTTTGCAAAAACAGAATTCAAGTTAAAGGACCTAACATTTTCTTTCTACTGTCATGTTTCCAGTTAACAGGTAACCTCTATTTGCAACTCAGAGCTCAGAAAGCATACAAACCAATAGAAAAACTTGCTTAGTATTTTCCCAAATTAATCCTTTTAAAAGCAAACTGAATAGAAGAAAAATGAGTAAGCACTCTATTGCCCAGGCTATGTGCAAATCATTTTCAACTCTGTTAAACGGATTTAGGAAGGAAAAGAAAGACCACCACTTCAGACTCAAGTAAGATAAAAACAGAAGGCGGCTAGAAAGAACTTCATGGAAAGGGTACTATGAGCTAGAGGTCTACTTGTCAGTGTTTTAGTCCAAATTTTATTAATTAGATATTTTAGGCAAATCAAACACAGTAGGCAACAGTGCCTGCGCAGAGGAATGACTGAAATAAAATTTATGAAAATAGTATGTCAAGATTTAACATGAAATATTCAATGACTGGCAAGAATGGTTGGGAAGCAGCCTTTTCTCATTCACTTGTCCAGCAAATAAAAATTGTTATTTATACCTGTATGTCACAACCGTAATTCAGAGGGCTCTCTGTCTTCCTTTATCTGATAACCTCCCAAAGTGAAATCTAAGCACTGAAATTCTCTCGAAGTGGAAGCAGTGGAGTGTCATTTAAAAGGAGCTTGATCCTCACCTAAAACACACTCTCACCTTTCACCTACAGAGCCCAGGAAGGAAACATTGCCTTCTTAGTCCGACAGAACCGATTCAGCCTTTCCAGATGAAATGCCAGGGCGTTCACCGACCAAAGGGTTCACCGACTCCAAGGGGTCACCACTTTAGAAGGCAATCCTGCCAAGTGGACCGGTGATAGTTCACAGGCGCCACCCTCGCGACTTTCAACAGCAGTTACTCGGGAATCGTGCCAAACCTCGTCCAAGTGACTTAGACACTAGCGTCCAGCCTGGTGAATCCAATCCCCATCCTCAATCACACATCCACATCCCCAAAACAAATCCTTCACGGTCTTTCTGGAGATGAGATGGCAAAACCGGAACACACCCAGAAAGTTGACACAGAAGGGGGTGGTGTGGGGAAGAGGGTGGTGTGGGGAACACACCGCTTCCCCCTCCCACCCCCGACTGGAGGCTGCTGGCTGGGCGCCGGTTCGCCAGCGGGCGCAGGAGGATTCGCAATGCCGGGGTGGAGCGAGATCGCAGGACCAGACCGGCACCGGGTACTCGCCAACACCCTGACATTGGAGCCCCGCGGCAGTGGCGGTCGGCCCTCTCTCCGCCTGACCCCGCCGGGCGAAGGGACCCGTCAGCCAGGCGGGGAGGGAGAGCACGCGGGGAGCGCCCGCTCGGGCCCGGGAAGGCGGCGCGGCTACGGGCCTTCTTACCCGTGCAGGCCGAGGGCGCGGCGCCGCTTATGGAGCAAGCAGAGCAACAGGAACGCAGCACCCGCCAGCGAGGAGTTTCGCGCCGTCAAGTACTTGCTGAAGGCCGCCATGGCACGGCCGGTGCTAGCGAGCCGGCGGGCGGTACTCGACAGCGGCTACCTTAGTGCAGGAAGCGCGGGGAAGACTGGGAGGCGAGCAGAGGGCGGAGCCGGCAGCGCAGGACCGCCCCCTGACGCGCGCCGCCGCGCCGCCCTCCCGCTGGAGCCCACCTTGTACTTTGGCTCGGCGGGAGCGCGCGCGGGAGCCTCTGAGGGCGGAATAGTCCCGGAACGCGCTCTGCGCACGCGCAGATCCCCTCTGGGGCTCTGGAAACGCGGGGCGCAGGCGCTATGGCTCTTCAGTCCTTCGAGGTCTCGGTTCTGCCTCTGCCTCACCCCTACCCTCCCACCCTTTGCGCGCACACCCGGCTTTCACAAGAGCTGGATGAGCGGGCCCGGCCTGCACCGAGGACCTAGTGGGCCCTGCCTCTCCACTCGCCCGGTGATAGACCATTACCACCCTCTTAAAGGAGCCCAGGAAGGAGGCAGGCGGCCCGCTCACAGAGCATTTAGGGAAAACACTCAGCACAGTGATTATTAGGACGAAACCAAACAGCTGGGAACTCCTCATAGGTGGAGGGAGATGTAGGGAGAATGGCACAGATCAAAGAGCTTTTTCCAAGCCAGTGTTTCCCGAACCGCGGGTAATAATCTCTAGCGCATTGTGAACTTGGTTTCCTAGATCGGGATCACCACCTTCCGTTTTTAATAAAATTGAGACTAGAGTACAGTAGAAAAGTTTCACAGTACATCACGTAGTAAAGGAATTGTTTGGAGAAATTTTGATTTCACTGTTTTGTACGTACGTATCGCTGGTGGCGATGTAAAATGTATTTACATAGAGCTGGTAAAACAAATAGTTGTAGAAACTGTTGTTTGCAAAGGGAAATTCAGAAGTAGCAATCATGCATTGTATTAAAGCTGGACTCACTCCCAGAATCAGAAAGGCTTTACAGATTACAGCATTCTTCTCCTGCCTGACCCTATGATGCAGGAATTGTTAACCCCAGCATCGAGCCTAGCATATATACAGTAACAGTGAATCGCTGTTTTCAGTTGAGGAAACTAGAGAAAAGCATGTGTGTCAGAAAATAAGTTCATAAAACCTCGCATAATGCACATACATATTAAAGCAGCCTACAAAGTAGTGGTGCTGTGCCCTAGGTGTTTTCTCAAGATAAATGAGCAGTTGCCTAATACAGGTTATGAGGATCACAAAGATCAGGTACAATAATGGCATGCGTGTAGAGGTGCTAAACAGTGAATTCTAAATTATGCAAAAGTGAAGCTCCTACTAATTATCTATTTGTCTTGTGGACATTTCATTACCTGGAGTGGCCAAGGGTCTTGGCCCTCTGAAAGTTCACTGAAAATCACTGACCACTGACATGAGGCAGATTAATAGAAGAAAAAAATTAATAGGAGAAAAGGCATACAAATTTATTTAATGTGTATACATGGGAGTGAATGAAGACCCAAAGATACGGGAAAAATTGTCCATTTTTATGTTTAGGTTCAATGAAGTATGGACAGCTATGTAGAAATATGATTGGATGAAAAGGGTATAATCTAATGCTAACAGAGTGAGTGGGGACACCCAGCAAGGCCTGTCTGTCTGGATTCTTCTTGGCCTTCTAAGCACCATTTCCTCCTTCTGGATATGGGGCAGGACCCTCTCTGGAATGGAGCTTTTACGGCCTACAGGCAAACAAGGTAGGTCAGATAATTTATGGCCAGTTTTTACACAAAAAGGTGGAGGGAAAATTTGCAGAACATTTTTAGGCTTTTATGCCTGGCTTTAGAGGATAGAGGTTCTGGTTTCTGTGTCTTGCCTTGAGGAATAGCGATCCTCATTTCTATGGCTAGCCTCAGGGACTATGGGACTGAGAGACAGGAGGGCTGGAGTAGGGCAGAAGTTCAGAGAAGAACTTTTGCTCCAGAGGTCTTCATTTTGGAGTATTGTCTTGTGAGCCCTAATGACCTCACTAACATTAGGTAATTAGGCATGCCTGGCATAGAGAACACAAGGATGAAAAGATCATGGAGATCGTATTCCCCAGAGGCTGTTACAGAAGAAAAACGTGAAAAAATAAAGCATAAATTTAGTAAGTACTGTATAAGAGATATGAACAAGGTGCTACGAGATCACAAACAGCAAAATATTTAGTTTTGTCTAAAGCTTTAAATGAAGGCTTTAGCTGATTCTGTAGCTAAATTCTAAAGGACAGAAGGACTCACTCAGGAGGACAAAAGAGGAAATTACTAATTCAGTAATAAATTGCAAAGTGCTAGAAAAAGAGTTGGAAACTGTGTAAGAAAGTAACAGTTTCATCTTAGAGTTTGTAACAATGAAGGAAGTACAAGCAAGATTAGTCAAAAATAGTCTGTTTAGAAAATAAATTTCAAAACATTCAGAGGAAAGAGAAATGACCCATTGACAAAACATTCTAAAAAGTACCCTTGTTCAAGAATCGTGGGAGAGTCTAAAAAATTACATTAGTTATTTGAGCTCAAATAATTTTAGCTATTGATAAAGCCCATCTGATAAAGATCACTAGGAACAAATCTGTAACCCAAAAAGGTAAGTTTATTAACTTGCTATAGCAAAGGACATTATACAGCAGAGGAATTGTGACCATGTCTCAAAAAAAAAAAACAAAAACAAGGAAGAAATGAGGAATCATTATAGTATTTAGAAGAAGACAGGTGTTTAGGTAAAACTAAATAAAGCAGTGCTTGATATGCTCAAAGCAAATCAGAGCTGTATGTAATGTCAGACCTGGACTGAGAAGCAGATTCAAGATTCTAGTTCCTTAGAAACATACATTTAAGATTAACGTAGAATATTGCCTCTGAAAATCCCTTATCTGAACCTCTGCACTAGAAATTGAGACTGTTTTTGTAAGTCAAAGTGACTAAAAGAGTTCAAATTTGCCAGGCAAGAAAGGGACATTCTGTTCTCACTGGTAGACTCTCAGAACAACCAACCTTCTGACAATCCAGGATTTTAGAGAACAAAATTCCTTGGCACTATGTCATTTGATAATTAACAATGCAATTTTGCAAGTTCACACTTTATAATACTAAACAATTAAGAAAAACAGAAAATGTGATTTTATGGGGCAGATGTCCAAGAGCTCTGATTTTTAAAGAATTTGAGCTATTGAGAACAGGGAGGCAGGGCATATGAAATTAGTGAATCTGGAAAGCCTCAGGAAGAAAGATTGTGTTAACCAGCCTCCAAGATTGCCCCTGGTGATCATGGTATCCTATTCATGCCCTCATGAAATTTCCCTCACATCAGAGCTGAGTCTTGTGATGAAGGTGATGCTATGTGACTTCGAAGGCCATATTTTAAAAGGCACTGTGGCTTCTGCCTTGATCTCTTGGATTGCTTGCTCTTGGGGAAGCCAGCTTCCACAGAGAGCACTCAAACTGTCCTGGAGAGGAATTGAGGCCTCCCACGAGAAGCCAGACCAGCTTGCCAGTCATGAGAGTGGGCCATCTTGGAAGCAGATCCTCCATCCTCAGTCAAGCCTTCAGATGACTGCAACTTCATGAGTAATCTCAAACCAGACAGCCCAGCCAAGATGCTCCTAAATTCCTGACTCGTAGAAACTGTGGAAGGTAATGTGTTTATTGTATTAAGTCACTAAATTTGGGGGTAATTTATTATGCAGCCAGTGTGATTTGCAGCAAACCTTGAAAAACAGATGGAAAAAAAGAGGATTCAGAAGAAGATACAATTGGAGCAAAGATGCAGAGACCAGACGGTACAAAGCAGATTGAGGAAGGTGATTAAGTCTGATGTGGATGGAGGCTGAGGGAGGCATGTGACATGAGAAAAAGTTTGAAATGTTTAACTGAAGTCAACTTGTGGAGAATCTAAAACACCAAGCTAACCGGGTAGGATTTTTATTCCATGTAAAAGGCACTATTGCAGGTTTTGGGAAAGGGTGTGACCTCAGAATTTATTTAAGAAAAATCATGCTAGTGACAGTGTGTAGAGTGGATTGAAGGAGGAACCATCAAGCAGAGAGACCAGTGTGGACACATGAAATAGTCTAGGTAAAAGATAGTGAGTACCTGAGTCAGGGCAGCACAAATCAAATGGGAAGAAAAGGACTTTGTGGATTCACATAAAATGGGAATAGGTGAAATAATTAATTCATGGGAAGAAAACTTTTACCTTGATCCTGATATTTCCTGGCTGAATGTTTAAGAGGATGATAATATTTACCCAAGGTCAGAGACAAAGAAGTGGTACCTGCTCATCAGGAAAGACAATGAGATGCAAACAAATTCCTTACTAGTTTCTCATCACCAAGATAAACTGCAATATCCTTAGCATCTCACATCAACCCGGTTATGACATAAGCTTTGCCTACCTCTCTAACACCTATCTTGGCAGTCCTCCCCTCCTACAGATGTATTCTACCCCTACCCCAGGAGATAGAGGCCTGCTGCTATTCACTTCTATAGTCTTCCCTTGAATATCCTATTCCTTCTACGTGAGTCCCTTCCTACCCTAACATCCTCACGTTCAACTCAGTTTATCCTTTAAAACGAAGTGTTGATGTTCCCCTACTCTGAACGGTCATCTGTGACCAGTCCCCCCAACCCCTTCACCTCATTGCCAAGTTAATTATTCTCTTCTTTGTATTCTCTTCTTTTTTCATATATAATTCTATTAATATGTAGCGTGTCTGGCAAGGCAGATCTTAAATTTTTTTAGAGAAACGGCCAGTCATTTCTCTGGGACAGTAAATACCTCAA